CGCCTGTGGTCCCAGCTACTTGGGAGGCTGAGGCAGGAGACTCACTTGAGCCCAGGAGTTGGAGGTTGCTGTGAGCTGTGATGCCACTGCACTCTACCCAGGGGGATAGCTTGAGGTTCTGTCTCAAAAAAAAAAATAAAGTCACTAAAAGCAGATGTTAGTGACAGGAAATATGTTTCAGAATTTTGAGTCCCTTCAGTGGAATTATTGGGGTAGAGGGATGTGCATTTACAATTTTGCTAATCAGATACAATAATGCTAAATTGTTTTTCAAAAAGACTAACTTCAGTGTTACATCTACACTCTCATCTGAGAGTTATCTTTAGCCAAATCAAGTTTTTCCACTCCAGATTTAATTAAAGCACTTTCTTAAGTAGCCTTACCTTCTTATTTCCTTGACTTGTAATGGTCACCTTCTTTGCTGTTTTTTTTTTTTTTTTGGCCAGGGGCTTTTTATTCTTCTCTGCTTCTCACAATTTTACCAAATTATCTATACTTTCCTCAGCCTACATGTATGAAACACTATATAGCTTTAATAGCTTTCATTAAGACTTTTAGGAAGAAAGCTTTGAAAAATATAGCAGAAATAGAACCAACCAAGTGCTTGGTTCAAATATAAAAATAACTAATAAAAATCAAACTTAATAATAAATGTTTCAACTGATGATACTGTGGGAAGTAGGAACAAGAAGACAAACAGACTAGAATTCTTTCAAAGATAAAATCTGTGTAAGTCTTAGACTGCATCTGTGGAAGAAAGTGAGTTTGAGCAGAAGTGGGTTGGCTTAATCAATCTTTTTTAACCCCTAATAGTTGTCAACTTGAGGAGTGTTGCCAGAAGTGATATTCATTGCTGTATTGTAATAATGCCAATGTCATTGAGAAAGTCCTGGTAATACTAACCACTTATTGAAGCTTCCTGTGCTGAATTTTCTTGTGTTCCTCATGTAATTTTTAACAGTAATCCTATAAGGAGCAGACACTATATGTTCTATTTTACAGATCGGAAAACTAGCTGTGTTTACATAGCTAGTAAATGAATTATAGGTAGGCATCATGAACCTGTACGGTTCTAAAAATGTACACTCAAGGTAAAATAATTCAGAGCTCGTGCTCTGAAGTGTAGATGATGACCAGTAACCTTAAAAGGAGAGCTGTCCAGGACAGTAAATATCAACAAGAAACTTTGTTTACAGTGATTTCTGGAAAAGTAAATTTATGTATTAGAAATGTTGATAGAGAGTCATTACACATCATTTTCATCATTTACAGTGGTTTTAGTAAGTGCCTGCCTATTTTTTACATTGGTAGGCACTGTGTAGAGCTGGTGATAAGATCTAAGGGCAGAAAAATCTATGGACCATAAGCTGTTTTTTTGTTTGTTTTGTTTTTTTGAGACAGTCTGATTTTGTCACCCTCGGTAGAGTGCTGTAACATCACAGCTCACAGCAACCTCCAACTCTTGGGCTCAGGCAATTCTCTTGCCTCAGCCCCCTAAGTAGTTGGGACTACAGGTGCCCACCACAACACCTGGCTATTTTTTGTTGCAGTTGTCACTGCTGTTTTAGCTGGCCAGGGCCGGGTTCGAACCCGGCACCCACGGTATATGGGGCTGGTGCCTGGACTATAAGCTGTTAAAGCAAGCTGTGCTTACTCTAGCTTTTTGGTTCTCATAAATATAGCTCAGTAGCTTCGTTATCATTAATCTTTGAAAGTAAACAGAAAGGAGGAGCTAGAGACCACTCATTTATTCATTTGATATTTGTTTCGTGTTTGCTCTTTGTAGGATGCTGTCCAGTACTTTACGGAAGACAAAAAAGATGAATAAATTTGTCTTCAACTTTAAAAAGCTGTTCATCTAATGGGAAGAAACAAGCCATTTTAGGGCCAAAATCTTCTCTTGTTGCTGGTGTTTATTTTTAAACCTAGAATTCCATGGAAGAATTTGAATTAATGTATTTTGTTACCTTATTTGTTCCATTTAAGTTTATACTAGTTGAATGAGATCTTCTTTTCAAATGTTCGTTCTTAAATTTTTTCTCAGTCTCTTAATTGCTTACATTGTTTTGTATTGTGAATGAATTTAAGTACATAAAAGGTATTTTGAAAGAAAAAAAGATGTTAAAAGCTTTGCCTCTTCTTTTCTGATGTAGCTTTTCCCCTAGCTTTATAATGGTAAAATAATTCCTCATTTTAAAGTTAATAAGAAGAAGTGACAAAACAGTTTGGAGATGATTGCACTCAGGTTTCCTCTCTAGAATTTATTTTTATTCTAATAAATCGTGATAATCTATGAACAAACATGTATTCTTTTTTCCCCTTAGGACATAAATAATACTGCTGCTATGCTTCCAAGCTGTAGTCTGAATCAACCTAAATTTTAAGCAGAAGGTGAAGCTCTGAGGTCAGTTAAAGTAGCAGTTGGATTTCTTCTTGCTGTTTCCTATTCATTTATTTTGTTGATTAAAGTTGTAAGTAAAGTTCCTTTTCAAGGGCTCTGATGACTCACTTAACTTTAAGTGACGTTAAAGGTATAATTGGGAAATAGGAGAGGAGGAAAGATGGGACAGAGAGATTAGAAAAGAGAAGTAAAGCGTATTTAACTTGGAGGAAATGCCCAGTCCATTTGTGGGCCTCATTCATGGTGCTATTTAGTGCCTGTTTTGCCGTATTCTAATAAGGCCATCGTACTAGACTACCTTAGTGCAACTAGAGGATGAGTATGTTTGACTCATAAGTAAATCAAGGTAACAGAAATTCATTTCCCCTAATTCACTCTTATTCAATTGAGAGATCAGGATCTGCCACTGATAGAACTATGCCTGTATAGCATTCTGAGAGTGCTGCAAAGATTAGAGTTGGAAACTCTTGAAAGCCTAAATTTTATTTTCTAGGTGTCCTGTTAAAGAGTTAATGTCTCTGGCAGTGCCTGTGGCTCAGTGGGTCTGGTGCTAGCCCCATATACCAAGAGTAGCAGGTTCAAACCGGGCCGGCCAAACTGCAACAACAACAAAAAGCTGGGCATTGTGGTGGTTGCTTGTGGTCCCAGCTACTGGGGAGGCTGAGGCAAGAGAATCGCCTAAGCCCAGGAGTTGGAGGTTGCTATGA